CTCTCTCTCTCTCTCTCTCAATTTCTCTCCCCACCCCCTCTCTCTCACCCCTCACCCTCTCCCCCTTCCACACCCCCCATATCCACTCTCTCTCTCCTTCTCTGCCTTATAAAGATTCTGGAAACTTAGCACATTGTGAAAAAGAAAAGCACCTCAAGTACCTCTTACAAACTCACAGCAGCCAGCACACTGTTAAGAGGTTCAGTGATGTGTCACTATGCTTGGTACTGAAGCGTTCTCATGCAAGTTTTCTCTCAGCATATGACCAAAAGCAGAAAAGAGTCTTTATAAGAAAATTATATGATACACAGATAAGGAAGTGGAAATGCTTTATCATGACTGACAAGTCTATCAGGCTTGGGGGGGGCTGTATTTTTTAACTATAGACAGCTTGAATAGACACTAGTGTAAAAAGCTCGTTTCTACAGATGAGACAACTGATACCAAGATAAGTGTACTGACTTGCTTCAGGCCTCACACTCATCATGGCATTAGCATCCAAGGTCATTGGGCTGACTGTGCATCTCATCGTCTTCGGCCAACACAGTGGTTCTCTGTCACCTGTTTTCATGGGCTAGGATAATTACAAATACTAAACTGAGGAAAGACTGGCATTTGGTTGCTAACTATAAAAAGAAACTGCCATGTTTTACCACAAAAATTCTAATAGCAGGGATTTTTATCCCAAAAGAGTAAGGAGAAAATATTTATAATAATGTGTGCTCCTTTAAATTTAATATTTTCAGTTTTAGGAAAATTTATGATTAGTGTGTTTCTTACCCCCTCCCCTCCCCACCCCCACCCCCATTTTTTTTTCTTTTCACAAAATAAGGCTTGGGAACCATCAAATTATTTCAACCCCATAGTCTTAATCCCACACTCTCCTCTTCTCAGGCCACAGTGTCTATTGATCAGGCATTTTCTCCTCTGGAAACACAAGAGGTCTGCCAATTAAGTTTGCAAATTCATCCTAGAAAAAGTGCTACATACCTCTTTGCTGAATATCACTATAGTCACCTTCAAAGTGCTCCCCTTGGGAAGCTATGCTCTGATGCCAGCGCCTAGTCCACCCTTCAAAACAATTTTGGAACTCATTTTCTGGAATGGCCATCAGAGCTGTCATCATATTACCCTTGATGTCCTGAATGTCAGCAAAGTGTCTTCCTTTCAATATTTCCTTTATCTTCAGGTAAAGAAAGAAGTCATTGGGGGCCAGATCAGGTGAGTAGGAGGGGTGTCCCAAAACAGTTATTTGTTTACTGGCTAAAAACTCCCTCACAGACAGTGCCATGTGAGCTGGTGCATTTTCATGATGCAAGAGCCATGAATTGTTGGCAAAAAGTTCAGGTCATTTTCGTCTAACTTTTTCACGCAGTCTTTTCAGCACTTCCAAATAGTAAACTTGGTTAACTGTTTGTCCAGTTGGTGCAAATTCATAATAAATAAGCCCTCTGATAAAAAAGGTTAGCAATATCGTTTTGACTCTTGATTTGGACTGACAGAACTTTTCTAGTTGTGGAGAATTGGCTGACTTCCATTGTGCACTTTGACGCTTTGTTTCAGGGTAACCCAGTCCAAAACATCGTCTTGCCTCTCCAAAAGGTCTTGGCAAACTTCGACTCTCCTTTGCTTTTGTTCATCGGTGAGCTCCTTCAGGGCCATTTTTGCACACACCTTTCTCATGCCAAGATTTTCCTGTTTTTCTATCGTTTACTTGGTCTGCTATGCTTCTCACAGCCAGCTGATGATTTTGACACACAATTTGATGAAGTTTTGCGATGTTTTTGTCAGTCCTGCTCATTACTGGCCACCCTGGCCTCTTTTCATCAGTGACGCATTCTCTCCCCTCAGAAAAACATTTAATCCATTTGTACACTGCCATTTTCTTCATGGCATTATCCCCATAAACTTGAACTAACATGTCCCTGGTTTCACTTCCATTCTTGCAAAGTTTAACAAGAAATTTAATGTTTGTTCATTGTTCTAATTCAAGCTCAGACATTCTCACGATGACACACAAAAACATGCAACAACAATAATAAACGCCACTCAGCAAGACACCGCCACACGTCGACATGAACACAGTTGAGACACTGATATACAAAGGTTGTGAAACCTTACTGAGCTGTTTTGTACAGTGCTGCCAATGTACATGTGTGGTGGCAAGTTCACGAACTTAATTGTCAGACCTGGTACTGGTGTACAGGTATTTATAGCACCTTTGAGAGCTGGTGCCTGGAAGGTCTCCAGAGCTACTTCTTTAGGTCTTACTTAGTGAAACAGGAGAGGATCTATAGTTTTAAATAATCATAAAGCCAAATATAAAATTCATTTCTACTAATTTCAATAATATAAAAAAAACACATTAGACAAAAAAAGCTGAAAATTCTTATGGTAAGAATAAAGGTATAGAGAGACCAACAAAGCTCAAGTTATAGTTATGTGTTAGTTTATTTCTAGAGTAGCTTCATAAAATGCACAGGTGTCAATAGGAAACTGGTCATTGAGATGCTTCATGGTTTATTCCTTTTCAAGTTCTTAAGTCAGGATGGAGTTTGACTCTTTCTTGTATAGTTACTGACTAACAGAGTTGATACCATTGGGGTTAAATGTGTCACTTCCATGAACTCAGACAGACAAGGAGACTCAGAGCCCTGAAAGTGCTTTTCAGTCTATAAATCAGCCAGATGGTGGGGAGTGCTTTTTGTATAAAAGCGATGCAAATGAGAAAAGTGAGAATTAAGACTGATCAGTCTAGTTACCTAAATTTTAAGGGGTTTATTTAAATATATCAAGATGTGCTCTCTAAGTCATGTCATAATTTATAATAAAGCCTTTCTAGTTTTTTCCATGATCTGTAATCTTTCTATTATTCTTTCCCCATCTAGCTGAGGGAGATGACACCTTTGTTATAATGAAATTATTCCACTAGGGAAAAAGTTAATCTCCTTCCCATCTAATCAGGATTTTGAAGCATTCTGGTAACAGCATGAAATGAAAGTCTTGGTAGAATGAGAACCATATGTTCCACATGACTTTTGTCTCTACAACAATATAGATGTCAGCAGCAGTTACACATATGATTTAGGGATCATGGAGCAGTGGATAACGATACTGTGCTCCAGGATCCAGAATACTGAGTAACAGGGGAAAAAAAGATTGATCGTCTAATAATGTGCACAAAAACTACATATGTACCAGCAAGGGAGCAAACTGCTAATAAATGCAATATTCCCATGACAGGAAACATATGAACTGACCCAGAAACCCCTCCTTTATTTTATCCAGCAGATATTGTCCAGTGAAGACTTCAGAAGGTTTTGCATTTATAATAAATTTATCTCTATAGTCAAAAATAATTTTTAAAATTGCTAAAAAAAAGAAAGAAAAAGTAAAAAGGATCTACATGTTCTAGCAAATTAGACACTCCTATTCCAACCAACCATCTCCCTTCTTTGAATAGTTAAGTTATGCTGAAATTTCAAAATCAAGTTTATCTCACCATGGTAGTCTTAACTTAACCCCAGTCCAGACTTAACTACAGTCAACACCTGGTGCTTGTTCTCTGTGTTTTGAAACACTCCATACATAAATATCCCATCGATAAAAAATAAAGCCATGAGATTTTTTTCATACTCTTCCAAATGTGCCTATCACATTCTCTAAGTGTGTTAGTCTGAGATGCCTGAAAGAAGGGGGGTCTTTCCTTTCTAGTCCCAGGGTCCCCATATATTAGTTGTACCTGGCCAGTGGCAGGGGGTTGCTGAATGAGTGCCTGACTCCAGAACTTAAATCATGGCATGGCCTGTGTAAGTAGAAAATTCAAAAGTACCCAGATACTAAACATGAAATT